CCCCCGCAAAATGGAGGAAAATGCATCCTTATCTGCACATCTAAGCAACGGATGGATGTTTCCCATGGGCAGCCGTGACCTTGAGTGACTGGTTTCAGAAGGCCCCGGGTGAGGAGGGCAGAGCTAGATGAACACTCTCCAAGGCTGACCACGGAGGCAAGTGCAGGGGGAGCCCAGGACCTTTGGCTGACTGCCCAGATCCATGGTCCATACAGGGGTCATCAGAACTCCATCCCTAGGACCAGCCCAGCCCCCTCCCAATTCACACCCAACTGTGGGCACCAACCCCACCAGGCAGGCTAGAGAATGCCGGAACAAGGCTGAGGTCGCCACCGTCTCACTGAACGTGAGCTCTGGCGTTTTGCTTCCTTAAAAGAGCCAGGATGATCCACGGCAGTGCCACAGCCTAGGCCAGCAGCCGGGCCCTGACACGTGCTGGGGAGAGTGTTTGCTGCTAGGACCATGTGCCCAGGGACACATGAGGATGCTGGACAAGGCGTTCTGTGGAGTGCACGGTTTTCAGTGTTCAGGTCCAAGAAGCTGCTGACAAATGGGAAAGAACTGTGCTGGCTGGACAACAGTTAGTTGTTTTGGCCTTGTTTCATCTATCAGAAGTCACATGAGGGGAAAATTTAAGAGTCATTATAAAAAATACACGATGACTAATATCTTTAGGACGATGAAGATGTTACTGGGGAAAAATAAGATCCTTCAACATCATCAAAATGACAGAACGCTGCTTGCTTTTAGAAGTGGAAAAGCCTCCATTCCTCAGTGTGAGCATGAACTCGAAGGCTCTGCTTAAATGCAGTTTCTGGTGAAGCCCATCTAACACCCACACGGTGCAGGAAAGATCCAGCATCCTATGTCCGTAACAGTGATCCACACAGTTCTGTCTCTTATGACTACATTTAAAAATACACATTTGGCAGCTTCACGAGTCTGCAGAAACCCAGAGTCAGGGCGACTCTTGAGGCTGCACAGACATGGGAAGGGACCAGGCACCGCCTCACCCTGGGCCGAAGTCTGGCAGGAGGTGAAGACCTCTGAAGTGGAGACACCCCTGCTGCCAATCTTCCAGGAAAGGGGCGGGGCCTCTGGCAGGAAGAGCTGGACCTGAGGCCCTGGGTAGAGGGGTCTGACTCTGGAGCCCAGCCTAGTTCTGAGCTCCTGGGAGATGGCACTCAGGTGAAGGCAAGCCAGGAACGAGATGAGCCCTGAAAAGCCAACAGAGCAAGATGGACCCTTCTGGCCAGATGTTTGGTATAAATCTTGGTGTTCCCATTCTTGTGGTCCTTCTCTAAGTGGAGGAAGTGGCTCCTGCTGGCTTCTACCTGAACTTGGGTACGGAGGGAAGGAGGTGGGGGGATGCTGGGTCCGGCAGTTACCAGTCATTGGATGGAGAAAAAAATCAAAATCACCCTAACAGTGTAGAGAAACAAGAGCAGAAACCACCCTGATCTGGTCCTACTCGAAAGACTTTGCAAATATTAATTCATTCACATCTCATGACAGCCCCAGGAGAGAAGCAAATTAAAGGTACATTTCACAGATGATGAAACTGAGGCACAGAGAGGTTCAAGAGCTCCCCCAAGTCCCAAGGTGGCGAGAGAAGGAGCTGGGCAGAAACTCAGGCACCTGGTCCTGCCCACAGGCACAGGCAACGTGAATGCCCGGAATATGCCCAAGCTCAGAATAGGAGTCACTGCATTGCTTTCACCAGGGAGGTTAGACATTTGAGCTGGTACAGATGTGACCTGTCAGCAGAGCCAGCAAAGGACATGCAAAAAATGCATGGGGTGATGATAAAATTCACAAGACAGGGGCAAAGCTTTTCACATGCTCACAGGTCATACAATAGCCCTTTAGAGATGGAGAAGTGGGCAAACTGTGTGCCAGGTCAGTATAAGGTAATGTAAAGTTAAAATCATGTAATTATTTAAGTGTACATCACAATTATTAAAGATTATCATTTCAATTCATTCAAGGAACTTCGTAACTAAAATGTAATGACGTGTTTCATATTACCAATTACTGCAGAAAAGCACAGATGTAAATCACTTAGAATGAGTGACGTCACGTGTTTGAAAGTAGACCGATATGTCAAGGGTAATACAGGGTGTGTAACTATTCTCTTAAGTGGTTTAAACATTTTCTCTGAAATCTTTATGTTATTAATATTATGAATGTGGTAGTGATGTCTTTTTAAAAAACTGATAATGCAATCAAATCTTAATTAAGTTCTTCTGGAGCACTATGTATTCTAGATAACATTTCCCGAAGTGTGAGAAGAGAATTTTCTCTTCCATTCTCAAGGAAGCGGGGAGTTGGAGGGTAGTGCTATCACAAGGTTAGAAGCACAGTAGACGGTATCATCCCCAGAGAAACACAAGGCAGCACAGGAAGCCAACGGCCACGGAAACTGCGAGAGATGGCGGGGGCCCTGCCTATGGGAGAAAGGCCTCTGGTGGCGAACAGCAGGGCAGGGCTGTGACAGGGTGCCATCCCCCATGCTGCTAGCCTTCCTTGCTACGAAGTATTCACGCCAGGTTCTGTTTCTTAGAATAGGAGGCTGGTCCCCAGGTAGTGCTGATGTTTGGGATGGGGGAGGAGCCAGTGCAAACAGCTCCTAGGGCTCCCCCATCGCTGCTGCTCTACTACGAGCTGGGGTGTGGAGGTGCTGGGGAACTGCTCTGGGGTCCTTGGTGCGAGGGCACCAGATGGGGTGTTTCTGGGAAAGCACGTCCCCACGTGAGACCGACTTGCTCGGCTTGGCGGCCAAGCTCTCGCCGGACGTTCCCTCCTGGGTCTGTGGCTCTGGAGTCAGTGCCACAGCCATCACTCCCAGGACAAGAGGAGACACTGGGGCTGGGTGCATACCACAGCCGTGAGGATGTGGGTGTGGGGAGACCCGCTGTGCTGAGGGGGAAATGGAGGCCAGGGGAACGGAGGGCATTTGCTTCAGGGCACACAGAACCATCACGTGAGTGAGCACAGATCCAACCCACAGTGCTTGACGGCAGCACCTCCGGGTTCCCACCCTCCGCCCTCGGTGTCGCTCCAGTTCCTGGCGCAGGGTTCTTCCAGGTAGGCACGTTCCTCGCCTCCCCATTCCCCGGGTCTCTCTCCCAGCACAGGGCCCACCACTCACTGTGGACTTTGGTTTTGTTGATGGAATTTGATTAATAATAGCATCGGTCCCCAGAAAGGGAACCTGGAGGGCGATCTGCAAGAGTTGGCCCACAGATTCTCTCCTGATATTACTGGGAACATCTTTCTGGAAAAAATACGGATCTCTAAATCGGTTCTTTCTGTCGAGCTTTAGGGTGCTCTCCAGGTGAAATCCAGGACCATTGTCAGTAGAAGCATCAGTAAGAACCACAGGCTCACACCCATGAAACTCAAAGCAGCAGCAGCTCTAGGTTCACTTTTCCCAATAAAGGCTTATGGCCCAAATGGAAATGCACCCATGTTTGCAGGATTCTTGTACCTCTGACTTGGAGAGGACATGGCCATCCTGAGGTGGCCTTCTCCAGCAGGGTCTCCGCCATCCCAATACAGCTCCTCCTCTGAGGTCATGGCTGGCCTGTTATGGCCCACTCCTCCAGGGACACGGCCAACCCAATACGACCCACTCCACCCAGATCATGGCCGGCCTGATATGACCCACTCCACCTGGACATAGCTGGCCTGATACGTCCCACTGCTCCAGGGACACCACCGTCTAAATACACCCTAACAGGGCCCACTCCACCGGGAACATGGCTAGCCCAATACGGCCCACTCCACCTGGGACATGGCCAACCTGATATAACTCACTCCTCTAGGGTCACAGCTGGCCCAATACAGCCCACTGCACCTGGGACGTGGCTGGCCCGATATGGCCTACTCCCCTAGGGTCACAGCTGGCCTGATACGACCCACTGCTCCACGGGTGTGGCTGGCCTGATACGGCCCCCAGCAGCCCCTCGCAAAGCCTCACTGCTCCAGTGAAGAAGCCCTTGTGTGACTGAGTGCGTTGTTTCCGCCCAGAATTGGCCAAAACCTTTGGATAACACAGAATCTGTTTAGCAAGAAAAAGTGGTGCCCCTAGGATTTCATCTCCAAGAGCCGCCCCCTGGGGAGGATGCCTTGGGATTTCCTACACTGCCTTGCAGTTTGTGGGATCCACTGGCCATACCTGGGATGAGGCACTGCCCGCCCTCAGCGCCTGCTGCGGCTCCTGCCCTCACTTCTCTGGGCAGAGCCTCTGGAAGCCACTCCCCGGCCTCTGCTCTTCTTGCTACTCCAGCGCATTGCCCACAGCCACCTTAACCATTATCTAAAGCCACTGCCTGCTTCCTCCGTGGCCCCTGAGAAAGCCCCAGAGGGTTCATCCTGACTTATCAGACACTGCTGCAGCCACCTCTCCCTGCTTCGAAGATGGTCCAGGCACCTGCCTGTGCCTAAATGTCCTTCTCCCTCTGGCTTAGGACAGAACAGTGGCACGTAACTCTGAGCCCAGCTGGGACATCCCCTGCAGGACACAGTGAATTTCTTTCTCGTAAAGATTTCCTTCCCACTCTGGGGTCCTGGAAGGCCCTGCTGCCCGGGCACTGCCCAGAGCCATCCCTGAAGGCCACAGGCTCACCTGCTTGCAGACAGCACGTGGCCCACCAGCGGGAACTGCTTCACCCCGTGAGCACTGTGGGGATGCCCCTCAGTGTGGCAAAGTCTAACACACCACCGAAAGAAGACTAAACTGAGTGCGCTTTCAAAGTGAGTCTGAGTCTTCATCAGCGGTGTACATGCGTGAGGTTCATTTCTTCAGGAATAAATAATAAGGAAATGCTTAGGGACATCTTTTCAAAATGATGCTCTAACGAAAGGAGCAAATACTTAAAAATCTGCAGGTGATTCCTTCTCTAAGTGGAAGACAGCAGTGGGCCCTGCGTGGCTTGTGGCGTGGAAGGTGCCTGTGCAGGAGGCCTCCCGGCCCACAGCATGCCTGGGACACTGACCTGTTTTCCTAAGAGGGAAGTCATCTTTGGCGTCGTACATTCCCAGGACTGGGTGGTTATAGGAGGTCGACACTCCGCTCTGGGGTGGAGAACTCTGGTCAAGGGAACTGTGCTGCGTTTTCCTGGAGAGAAGGCAAAGACAGACGGTTTAGTTTGCCCAGGGCACTGCCCCAGGCACGCTGCAGCCGAGAAGCCACAGGATGATCTTTCACTTGAAACCGCAGCCCCACCTCAACAGACGCACCTCTTCCCTAGCTGAAGTTAAATGGAAACAAACAGGATGCTAAACAAGCAAGGAAACATCCAATGCCCACATCCTCCTCTGTGGGACCGGCAGTGCTCGGGGCTGGGATGGGCAGCACCTCTGGCGGTTTTCCTGGTGGCCGTTCTCCACCTGGCCCTGTCCTCTTAGATGGCTCCAGCCCGGTCTGTTCTCTACCAGGGCCACCACTGGCCACTCAGAGAGCCTGTCCCTGGTGGGGAGGGGCAGAGGAAGACAGTAGGCTGCGGCGTAAGGAATCAAAGGTCAGGTCATAGGCAGCCGAGACGGGCCAAAAAACGGTCTAAGAACAAATGCTATGTCTGGGGCTGTCACTGCCACCTGAAGAGAAGGAGCCCATGGGGCCATCTCTCAGCAGAAGGCACCCCCGTCATCCGCGCCTTCACCAGAGTCACCTCCCTCTCTGGGGGAGGAACAGGATGGCAGCTACTGATACCCTGTGCCCAGGGAGCTGACCTACGAAAGGGACTTCCTGTATGAACAGCTGGGTACAACTCCACACCCTCCAGGCGGCAAGACAGGAGTAGTCTGCCAGGACGATGGCCAGAGGAGGGACATGGGAGGAGGTGAGCCCTGGGCCGGAGCGGGGATGCAGGCTGCCACCCAGATGACCATCAGCAAGGCCTTTTTTGATGGCACTGACAGCTCAGTCTTGCTCAAAACACTGTGCTGAGTGGAATAAATTCTGAGTCTTTAAACTGTGTAATCTGCTTAATGACTAGAAACAAATTTGCCAACTTACTTATTTGGAATCTGTTAGACTATTTGAATACATAGTACGCCACAGCAATGCACCTGGAGTTATTTGAATTAAGAATGGGAGCTTGTAAATGGGTACAGGTGTATATTTAAATATCGGAGAGCACACCAGTGCAAAGAATGTGCAGAAGGGCACTCACAGACAAAATCAAGGACGCAAGCCCAGGTGCCTGGGCCGTGGGGTGCTGGGCCGTGCAGTGCTGCGCCATGGGGTGCTGGGCCGTGGGGTGCTGGAACATGGGGTGCTGGGCCGTGGGGTGTGGCAGTACAGCCATGGGTGTGCTGGGCCGTAAAAGCTGAACATGGGAAGGGGGCCGGGTACAAATGGGCAGTGTTGTTAAGGGGGTGTTGGCTGGGTGCTAATGGTGCTGGTGGGGTGCTGGGCCGTGCAGTGCTGTGCCAGCGGGGTAGCAAATGGTGTCAAGGTCAAAGGAACATGGGGTGCTGGGTCAGGCATGGGCTGCAGCATAATGTGGAAGGGCCGTGGGGTGCTGGAACATGGGGTGCTGGGCCGTGGGGTGCTGGAACATGGGGTGCTGGAATGTGGGGTGCTAGAAAGTGGGGTGCTAGGCTGTGCAGTGCTGGGCCATGGGGTGCTGGAACATGGGGTGCTGAGCTGTGGGGTGCTGGAACATGGTGTGCTGGAATGTGGGGTGCTGGAACATGGTGTGCTGGAATGTGGGGTGCTGGGCTGTGGGGTGCTGGGCCATGGGGTGCTGGGCCATGCATCACCTGAGGAGTCAGGGAGCTCCGGAAAACTGCACAGCTTCAGGCCACGCCCCAACCCAGCCCCACCCACTGCTCAGGGCACACCTCCAACCCCAAGCAGCCTTTCGCTATTTCCCGGGGAATTCCACCATGCAGTCAGGCTGGGACACACTTGTCTGCACCTGTGCAGGGCCTGTGGCCTCCAAGTGGGACCACGGCCTTGTGATAGCCTCCCTTCTCTTCCCTGTAGTTCTGCTCATCCTCTCACAATCTCATGAAAAGGTCTGGGGGCAACACTCTTTCCTACCAAATAGTGTTTTCAGATTGCGTCTTATGGGGATGTGATCTTGGCTGATTCCAAACTTCTTCAACACCAAGTAACAGTCTGGGACCAAGTCTGCATTCACTTTTCCCTTCACAGGAAACACGGAGTGACTTGCACATGCATCCCATGAGTTAAAAAGATCAGTATTTACATAATAATAAATCACGTAAATACATAGAATAAAATTATTATTATATTTGAACGGTAGGGTTTGCTTACAGTGAAGCAGGAGTTGCAAAAGTTACACTGGTTTAAGATCTAACAGACCTTCTCTTACTGCTCTGATCTTTTGAGGAGCTTTCAGTGTTAAAACCCCCACTTTCTTGTCAAACCTTAAAACAAGCAGAGCAGCAGGTGCAGGAGGGGCTCAGCCCTGACCCCAACTGCCAGTGCCGTCCCGCTGGACCACCTGGATGGATCCAGAGACCCCACAGGAGCGACCTCACCTCCTGCACAGCCCAGTTCACTGCCAGGGTCCACCCCACGGTGCGTCTGCCCTTCAGACACCAGGAGAGGGCGGCCCTCACCATCAGGGCCAGTCACACCTGCCCAGCCCTGGTCACATGGTCCCAGGCCAGACCGCACATGCGTGCCCTCCGTGAAGAAGCATCCAGCAGGGTGAGCAGAAGTGAAGCTCTATCCCTGCTGCAATCACACCCGCACCGCACACAATTACTCTCGCTCACATCTGCACACCACAGAACTAGTAACACCCACTCACATCCGCACATCACACAACTACTCATACCTATGCCTCACACTACTCACACCCACACATACCTGCACCTCACACTATTCACACCCACACACACCTCACCCATACCCATATCTGCATCTCACACGACTCACCTCCACACGTCACACACACACTCACACCCGCAGCTCACCCAACTCACACCCGCAGCTCACCCAACTCACACCTGCATCACACTATTACTGGCTCCCACACCGCGCACTACTCGCACCCACCCACACCACGCACTACTCACACCCACCCACACAGCACACTACTCACACCCATCTACTTACATTGGTTTCACACTGCTGCACTACTTCGTGACCACCTACACCACAAGGTGACTACCACACTCCACCTGGCCACCTACGCACTACCACACCCACCCACACAGCACACTACTTCACACTCCATCCACACTGTAATAACACTATCACACCTACTCACTTGCCACTACTTCCCACCTACACCGCATACACTACTTACACCACCCACACCGCATACTTCTCACCACACCATAATTACTTCACACTCCACCCACACCCTTTGCCACTATCACACTCACTCCACATCATGGCTTACTACACCAATCTGCTGCATGTGCATAATGGCCTGGCTAATTCACCCACACTGCACAATTACCACACCAATTACTTGGGCACCATTCACCACACCACATTAATTACCTACACTCACCTCACACCCCAGATACTCACCCACACCGCACACTATCACACCTCCACCCACACCTCAAACTACTCACACCCACCACACCACACTACTACACCTACCCAATACTTCACACTTTACTGTATACCCACCAACACCGCACACTACACTCACACACTCCACCCACACTTCTAGCTAATGCCATTTTCCACACTCCACCTCACACTTCACTACTCACACCACCAACACCGACACTTACTTCACACCTCACCCACACTTACACTATCACACCACGACACTTCACACTACTCACACGTGACTTACACTTGACACTACTGTATACCCACCGACACTGTGAGACAATTACTTCACACCCACCTACACTTTCATTACTTGCTAACACCTTCCACTGGCTACTCTCACACTAGCCACAAGACCCATCAATTAGACATACTACTTCACACTCTTACCCACACCTCACACTACACACCTACCACACCGCACACTACTACACCCACTACACCCGCATACTAGCACTCCGACACCGCACACTTACACACTTCCACCATACCGCACACTACTAATAATTCAATTGTGACACTTATACTTTTACCAAGAATTTCCACCACACTTCATACTACTTCATCTACCCACACCTCCCATACTACTACTTCCTGAATACCCACACTCAAGGCTAACATTCTACCTACACCTCGCGCTTTACCTGGCACCACCGACACCCGCACACTACACACCTACACCTGCCACCGCACACTACTACCCCACCTGATACCGCACACCACTACACCCACCCACACCGCACATTATCACCATACCCACCTGCCACCGCACTACCACCTCACCCACACTGCAGACTACCACTCCCACCACACTCTCACTACACACTCATACCCACACTGCATACTGCACACTCACCCACACCACAGCCACTACACGCACCCACCCACACCACACTACTTCACACCACCTGACACCATGCATCCCACGCCACTCCACTCACACCCGTGCACTACTCACACCCACCTACACAGCACACTACCACACCCACCCACACTGCATGCACTACCAACCCACCACTTCACACTACTCCCACTCCACACCGCACAGCTGCTACTCCACACCACCCACACTGCATACTTCACCCACACCGCACACTACTTCACACCCACCCACACCTCACACTACCACACCCACCGACACCACACACTCACTACACCCCACCACACTTTCACTACTACACCCACCGCGCACACTTCACACTACTACCCACCAACACCAGACACTACCATACCCACCTACACTTACACTACTCTACACTCCACGGATACTTACACTACTCACAATCTCCACTTTGACACTTCACTACTTCACACGCACCACATACCGCACACTACTTCACACTCCACCACTGCACACTACTTCACACTCACCCACACTTTACACTAATGCCAGACCACCACAATTTCACACTACTGCACTCCACCTACACTAATACACATTTGCCACCTACCCACACTTGCTACTACACACCTACCCACACCGATTAATTACTTTGCCACCTACCATGACTCTACACTTTACACACCCACCGATACTCACAATAATACACACCACTAAGCACGCA